GACATATCGGGGCACACGACGGTACCAGGGAGGCCCAGAATGGATGTGGCCTGCGTCTTGGATTTGCAGCAATCGGAACATCTTGTTCAACGAAAGAAAGCACTAGACGAAGTTAGACAGGCCTGTAATTTGGTCAATGCCAATATACATCATATACAGGTATAGTTTTTGCATGAATTGGCTGTTTAAATAACAGCAGGATAGCAAAGTATGCATTTTCAACGAGACTCTGAATAAAGATGTGATAGAAGTAAAAAACCCAAATTATTGCAACACATCAATTTTATCAGTTTTAAAACAAGCTTTTTATATCAAAAGTCGAATGCTAGATAATCTTAAGAATACTTTTTATATATTTATAAGCTAAAAATAGCTAAAGATACAAGAGTCATAAAAGTAAAGTAGCCTTTGATCAGTTTGATCTCTATCTGAGATTTTCCAATTCTCTTTTTGTAGTTTGAGAAGCTTGATTTTGGTGAAACTAATGTGCTGGACACATTTTATAACGCTGATGTGGCAGTTGTAGATTTAAGTATACAATTGCAACAATCTGCGCTGTTTTATCATCTCGGTGTCAGGGAAAGTTTTGGAATGAAAGAAAACATTTTGCTATATAATGACATAGACACAGAAGCTACAATTAGACTCAAGGTATGTATATACTTTATACAGCACATATGTATATGTTTTTCATTGCTTTTAGAATATGAATGCGAATAAGTCTCGTACATTCATTACAAAACACTATATATAATGGTAATAGTAGTATAGTAATAGTAGTAGTAGTAGCAGCAGCAGTAAAATACAAGTGACCTTGACTATTTGTTAGATCTAGGATGCACTTCATAGCTATGACCTCAATTAATGCTCTCATAAATAGATTGCTCAGGGCGCAAGAGACCCACACTGTATGCACAGCATATCAAACAGTTCCAGTATTCCTGCATTCTTGATATTAAGAAGATATCCATCTAGTATAGAAAGAATTATTTATAATATGATTTTATTTATAAAATGATTTTATTTTAATAACTGTTTCCGAAAATTATATCGTATTTAATTTATACAAAAAGATTAAAGAAAGTGGAAATATCAAAAAAGGATTAACTTTTACGATGTATTTCACTTGCTATTACGCATTTCTCACGAGTAGTTTAATCTTGTTGTAGAGGCACTTTAACAGTTGTCAGAATTTTTAATAATCACTTTTTATTATCATAATTATTTTTTATTTGTTGATGTAATTTTCTGCGAGACTTGTTATTTCGAGAATTTCGAAAATACTTGATATTTTTACTGTGGTCGGTAATTAGAACGTGTCGTGCGCGGAACGGTACTCGACGTCAGACTGCCGCGGGTTAAACATGATCCATCAGATGAAACGATGTCTCTGCCTGTTGGGCTAGCACCAAATATGTAATTTCGCTTAATATGGAGTAGAAAAACGTGAGCTCATACTCTCAATATAGCAGTTACTCAATATAATACTGGTCTAACTGATTGTGTGCAACTGTGCACGATCGTTCTCTACGATTTATTACTGATTTGTTAGACGTACGTTTCATTTCATTGCACCTGGATTGTTAATTTTATTTGAAATTATCATATTGAAAGAATAATTTATAACGATTTATAAGAGAACTCGAGAAGGAATTTAAAGTGCATGCATATGTTAAAATTAACGTAAAAATGTATGAATAATTATGAAATAACAGATTATGAATAATCAAATATTAAGTTCAATTTGTTAATTAAGCATAGATTGTTGATAACGTAATACATAAAGTATGTCATGAAGAAACGCAAATAATTTGTTCGTGTAATTTTGTAAATCATTATTATTTTTCTGATAACGTTTATATAAAATTAATATTTTTTTAATTACAGCGATATGCATTATTTTTTAATGAAATTAATTTACACAGAAATTGTTTTTTTTTGTACAGTTATCCTGTGGCAGTTACACATTTGTTTCGTATCGCGTTGTGGAATCGTGTGGATCATGTGTGGCTACTAATCCAGCAACCAGCAGAATCACAGGCGAAGAAACAATAGATCCTAAACAGCATCTCACTCTGAAACTCAAGAAATTGTTTCAGGATGTGGAAATACAATCCAAGTAAGCATATATGAAAATTTTTCGCAAACAGAAATTTTATATTAGAAATGTTTAATCATTACCCTTATTACAAAGTGCAGAAAACAAACATTTTTAATATATATTAATATGAAAAATGCTTTTATTAAAATTTCCAGAGCACATATGAAGGAGAAATTTCTGGCAGATCTACGAAAGGCGCGTGAAACATACTCTGGAGAAGAACTTTCCAGAGCTTTGAATAACATGCGCAAACGTTTAGATGATCCAAATGTTCTGTCAGGAGAGGTCGTTTTAAATGTTCTCATTTCATTCCGGGAAATACAGGTAAAATAATGATAGATTAATATTACTTTCCAATGAAAATTGTACTGTTATGTAAAAATATACACATTTACATTTGTTTTAATATTATTAGGATTATGATGCAATGGTACAATTGGTTGACGATTTGAAAACTATACCAACTCATAAGAATTATATAAATACTCCAGCTATAAGATATTTATACGCGTTTGCTCTAAATCGACGGAACAAAGAGGGTGATCGAGAAAGAGCATTAAAGGTTATCGAGAAAGCACTGGAAAAAAAGGAAAATCATGTTCCTGATATGTTGTGTTTATGTGGAAGAATATATAAAGACAAATTTGTCGAAAGCAGACACACAGATCAGGAGAGTTTAAAGAATGCGATTCACTGGTACAGAAAAGGTTTTGAGGTACAGTATCTGTATACAGCGTTTCTTTCTTATTGGAATTATCTCAATTAGTGTATGTATAATGTTTTGTTGTTGTTATATTTGTAGGTTCAGCCTAACGAATATGCTGGTATAAATCTTGCTACTTTATTGGTCATAGCCGGAAATGAGTTTTCTAAAAGTGAGGAGTTACAACACATAGGAATGGTATTAAATAACTTAATTGGTAAGAAAGGCAGTTTACCGAGCTTAAAAGATTATTGGGATGTAGCAACATTCTTTGAAATTAGTGTATTAGCGGAAGATTATTCGAAAGCTATACAAGCAGCTGAATGTATGTTTAAATTGAAGCCACCGAATTGGTAAGTATATGAGAAATAAAGTTTAGGTGTTTATTTCGTAAAAGACATAATATGTTTAGAATGCAGAGTAAAGTATATATTTCAGAACTTATTTTAATTAATTATTTTAACTTTTAGGTATCTGAAATCGACAATTGGCAACATATCACTGATAGATAGGTTCCGTAAAAAAAATGAGGAAGCTGAAATTGCACCGGAGGAACAAATATTTAGTTTCTGGATGGACTACTTTGTCGAAGCTACAAAGCCGGAGGTTGGCGATAGTATACGGTTTCCAGTAAGTTGATAAATGGAATCGTTCTACTGAGGATCCAGTTTCCAATTCGGGAGATTATGGCTTATAGTTATGTGTTACCAATCCAGCTTACTTCTGTACATTTTGGGTCAAAGTAAGAATAATATAAAACTGCTCTTAGTGCAGATTTATGGATTCACTCTTAAAAATCAACTTCCCACTTTAATAATCTTTCCAGTAAAAACGCTTAATACATTACAATATTTTTTTTACCAGATTTTAGTGTTGGAACCAACAAAAATTTTAATGCCGAGTTATGTAAACGTGAATCTCGGCGCGGAGGAGAAGTCCATACAAATATGGAATTTGTGTCTGGATAATATGAGAAACAATTGCAAGCAAGTTCACGATTGGTTGTTTACTGCAAATATGATACGTAGCGTAAGCTTGTATAAAAGGGATGAAAGATGTCTTTTTCTGTACGTTCATCAAAACTCAGATGATTTTCAAATGTATCTACCATCAGTACAATGTAGGCAAAGATTTTACGACTTGATCTTAGAAATGACTAGAGATCAAGAAGGCATGGTTACAGATTTGGATGCTTACATGACCGATGATCGCATGAAGGTTTCTATTAATTTTTAATATCACTTATAGTAATGTACATGCACGTTTTGTATATAATTTTTAATTATTTAATGTGTTTTTTCAGTTCGAATATGAATTGGATGATCAAAACAAGCGCATAATTCTTGGTAAAGGTACATACGGTGTAGTGTATGCAGCGCGTGATTTAAATACACAAGTCAGGATTGCAGTGAAAGAAATTCGTGAACGAAATTTGGGCGATGTACAACCTCTTCATGAAGAAATTAAATTACATAGTCAATTGAGGCATAGAAATATTGTTCAATATTTGGGCTCTGTAAGCGAGGATGGATATTTTAAAATCTTTATGGAGCAAGTTCCTGGAGGTAGGGAAGAGAGAGAAAAAAAGCATAGCATCAAAAAATGGCACTTATAAATATTCATAATTGTCACAATTTCAGGAAGTTTATCAGCGTTGCTAAGATCAAAGTGGGGCCCTTTGAAAGAAAACGAATCAACTATCTCATATTATACTAAACAGATGTTGGAGGGCCTTAAATATCTCCATGACCAAAAAATAGTTCATAGAGATATAAAAGGTATATAATTCATAGAGTAAATAAATTTCATGCTTATTTGTTCAAGAAAATAGTATATTTTTATCTTTGTAATTATTTTCACACAAGTAAATTTAAATATATGATTTAGGTGATAATGTGTTGGTAAATACATACAGTGGAGTAGTAAAGATTTCTGATTTCGGTATGTCCAAACGTTTGGCTGGCTTATGCCCGAGTACAGAAACGTTTACTGGAACATTACAGTACATGGCACCAGAAGTTATTGACAAAGGTCAACGTGGTTATGGTGCGCCTGTAAGTTTATGTTTAATTAAATGTTTTGTTTTGAGAGAGAGAGAGAGAGAGAGAGAGAAAATGTTTGTAGGATAAAGACATGTTTGTATCATATATATCGCAATAACAATTATTCAAATTTTTCTTTAGGCGGATATTTGGTCTTTGGGTTGCACAATAGTTGAGATGGCCACCGGAAAGCCTCCGTTCATTGAGCTAGGTTCTCCACAGGCAGCTGTTTTTAAAGTAAATCGAGAATATTAAATTATTAACATTTTAAACATTAAGAATTACTAACTTATTTAAAGTCTGATGTATATATGTTTGTTTGCACACAGGTGGGATATTACAAAATACATCCTGAGATTCCATCAGAGTTATCTGAAAGAGCAAAAAGTTTTATATTACGTTGTTTTGAGCCGAATCCTGATATAAGAGCAACCGCGGCAGAGTTGTTGGAGGATCCATTTCTTAATGAGTATATAAATAAGCATAGTACTGTAGAGTTTTATAATTTTTTTACAACGGTATAGTAAAATGCTTATTTATTATAGGAAAAAGAAGAGTAACAGATTAGTCGCACCACCAGATTTTAGTAGAAGCATATCAGTTCCTGCAGACAGAGTGGAACGTTTGGGGAAATGCGATAAAACAAATAATAATCACATTGTCTCTGCTACACCTATGCAGATGTCTCAATCCGATGATAGGTATTATAAAATGTTTTACCTTTGTTATCTATAATGTACTATGTGTAAGCATTTCTGTAATCTGTGGCATTCTCGCCTTTGTTTTACTATGTTGTACTTTTATTTTATTTGTATCAAGTAATTTTTGTTGCTAATCTCATTTTTTTATGTCGCTTGGTAATTGTTAGATTGATATTGAAACGTTAGGAAATTTACGAAACTTGACTATTTTTATATGGTATTACCAAGGAATAACAAATTTAAATTGTGTATTGTTATGTTATATATTGTAACGTGAAAATTACGTATATTTTTACTTTATTTCCAAATTTTTAATATCCACATCATATCCTTTAATGAATATGTTAAAAGTACTTTATCGAAATTGCATTCTACATATAAAGAATATGATACAAGAGTATAATATTTCTTTATGTGAATGCACGTGGCAAATTGTAATTATAAAATGTTAAATTTAGTGGAGGGTTAACGAAGTCTAGCCCATTGAGGGAACGCAGTCCAGCTCACCTATTGTCCCCCATCAGCATGCCTACTGCAATCCTCTCTTTTAACAGGTATGGTTCTAACTTCGTAAATTGTTTATATGCAAGTAAAGTATATAACTAAAGGAATATTTTGTTTTGTTATTTACTTATTCGTAAACATTGATTATATAAATTTTTTTATATGATCATTTATCATGAATATTAAATGTGCAAAATGTTTAATCAGTGTCTTCAAACTGCTTATGTCTTGTATAATAAACATCCGTAGTTATGAAGTAATCACTTTTTGCATATCACATTAAATGTTTATGCGTTTATATAATAGTAGTATGTAATGTCTTGATATATAACCCAGCTTTGTGTAAGTTGTATTAATTTCAAATTTCCTTTATGTTTTATGTAAGCAATAATATTACATATTAGATATAACATTACTATTAGATACTTTAAAATATTATTCGAAATAAAATAATATAATAACATTTTTTGTTTTGATTTTGTCTGGATTTATCTTCTTAAATATTGACATAAATAACACATATTAACATATAATAGCTTTGCTAAGTGATTACTATAGTTTATGTGAATACAATTTAATAGAACATAATTTAAATAAAGCAGCTTTTTAACATTTGACTTATCCTATAATCATAGCTTTTTCTTCCTTTAAATAATAATAAATATATACCCTCAAAATAGGTGGATCGTTCGAATTGTTTATGTAAATTTTATTGTATATATATTAAATATATAGAGATTGTGTATCTTTTTCTCTTTTGATATATTATTTGTAATAATATTTCTGTATTATTTTCCTCTATATTATATGATACAAGACTAATCGAATTTTTATTTTGTATTAATTATCAGATAATTAAATAATATCAGAATATTAAAATATTTAAAATACAAAATTATCACTTTTATAGTTATATGCAAGATGCGCTAATAATCCTTTGACACACAATATTAATAAAATTTTATCATTTTGTAGACAGTTTAAATGTTAATATAGATAATTCGATATTTAATATATAGTTTATAATATAAAAAAATTAATATTATTTGTTTATATCTTAATAGTACAATAGGGAATACTCCATCGATAGAAACTAGTGAAACTGATACAGCTGGTGTCTCAATAACTAGAAGAAGTTCGTCTGGTGGCTTGTTATCACCAGAAGTTGAATTAGGAGGTAAATTTAATCTATCACTTCGTAGGATTAATACTTCATAGAATTAGTATCGGAAATTATTTTTGAAAATATATCAAAAAGAATTTATTCAGATCACAATATAAATAAATATTATAATCCTGAACAGATGGATAAATGAAAAATTGCGAAAAATTGTCCATCTGTTCAGGATTTATTATGATATGATATTCATTTATATTTATGGGGAATTGGGATATAAAACAGGACAACCAGGACAAAAATCTGGAGAAGAGCAAGAGGGTTTTTATCTGTTAAAGAAGGATAGTCAAAGACGTATGACATTAACAAGGGTTCTCAATCAGGATGAGGCAAAAATTTGCGAGGTTTGGATGAGAGGTATACATCAAGCGGAAGGACAAACTGTGTTGCAAATGGTATTTATATACTGAAGTATCATGTTGTGTTGCAAATAATTACCGGTATATACTTAATTATTTATCATTATTTTAGAGTCACTTAGTGTTGCTCATGCGTGGCTTGAGGGATTATATAGCAGAGCAAAATCAGGAAGTAATAGTAACTGCTATTCGAACGTTGAAAGAGGAATTGGATTTCGATTCGACCGCTATTAATCATCTGCATTTGGCTATTTATTTATTTCAAACAGCAGTAAATGAGGTTCTCAGAATGCACAGTATAAAGCCACATTGGATGTTTGCTTTAGATAATTTAGTAAGAAATGCTGTTCAAGCTGCTATCACAGTTTTATCTCCCGGTAAGTATTATTTTTTCTTAATGAAAATGGGAATAAATTGTCACATATTTGACAGACATCATTGAGAACACTCACTCCTGTGAGTAAAAGAAAAAGTGTTTCACTCAACTGGCCAGATTTTCACACGTTATTTAGAATATGAACCAGATGTGTAACGTACGCATGTATCTTAAGTGTAATACACGTGAAGAGATTGAGTATGTTATCATGTCAACTCTAAAAATATCTCGAGGGAAAGTCATCACTAATAATGGGATCTTTTATGAACGTCGCGTTCAGTAAGAGGATTACCACATTCTACTCGAGTTCATACATATCTGGTTTAAACAGTTTTTATTGAAAATAAAAAAATTAGATATATTCAAATGTGATCAAAAAGTAATATACAAGTCATTACATGGAATATGTTTTGTGTTACAATTTGTACACTTAGAATTGGGTGCCAACTTACTTGGACAAGAACGAGTACAACCTGGTGGTCAAGGTCCTGAGGAAGGATCAACGTCTGGGGTATCAACGGTAAACTCTGTGAAATCTCAAAAAACCGCTGATTCTGTTGATAATAAATATTGGAAAGAATATAGAGATCAAATGGGAGCACTAAAAATGGAAAATATGAAGCTACTTCAGGAATTGATAGAAAGTCAGAAATCATATCAAACGTTATTGCAACAAGCTCTCGAAGAGCAGAGAGCCCAAGTTAATACACTGACACATCTGTGTGAAAATATTAATAGAAGATCAATAAGACAGGAATCAGGGTACGAAAAATTATCATTTTATTTTTATATTGCTGCATAATAATTATTTATTACTCCAAATTATTATTTTAGCTATTGTCGTAAAATTATTATTTTATTGTTGTAAAATTATTACTTTATTTATTGCTGCTTTTCACGTGTTGCAATATATACAAAATTTGATTAATATTGGGTGCATTTAGTACTGTGACTGCTCACTAAGCGCTCAGTGAGCTCTTGTGTCCATTTGACCTATATTTTTACATCTAACAGAATATGCCAATTAGATGCAAGAGCTCACTGAGCGGTTGTAGTACTAAATGCACCCATCATATAAAAGTATTTTTTAAATAATTATAGTTACAATTCTTGCATTTTTGGAAATATATCTCAACAATCCTTAATATCTACTATCGATACGCACAGTACGGTTTCACATCCGGATACAGCCCTTGTCGATTGGTTACAGAATCTTCAAATAGATGAAACATCAATCGATAGGGTAAGTATTCCACGGATATCTGAAATGAGAATGAGAATAAAAATAAGTTACATGTTATTTATTTTACATATAATATTTATGAACGATTTTTTAATATTCTTAGATTCTATATGAGGAATATACACTGGAAGATATTTTACGTCATGTTATACGGGAAGATCTCCGTAGACTAAACTTAAGGTAAAAATGCTTTCTTTTATTTAATAATAATAGCATATATGTGTAGAGATAAACTTATCTCTATACATCTTATACATCTTATATATAATTTTAGGGGAGGAATTGAACTCAGGATATGGCAAGCCATATTGAGACATCGGGAGAATAATGGAAATTAAATTGTAAAAATTACAATACAATTATATATTTTACTATCATTTTTAGTGATAAAGTGTCACTAATAGCTGGAGTTTAAAGCAGAGTAAAATATCTGTTTAGGCTGCCATAAGATAAAAGTATAATAATTTAAATTTAAATTTCAGTCGTGCATATGCTATATATTATCTTAGACATTAATACCCATAAAGAGAGAGAAAGTTTTCTCTGTGAGAGACAATGTTATAATGATATTACTGGTTTATTTCGTAGTTCCTAATGTAAATTGCTATTACTCTTTACAGAGCAATTGTATAAAAAATCCATGTATAATGATTTATGTTAACAAGACGTATTTTGTCTTAGCGTTTTTATCAGATTTTAATTACTTTGCCAAAGTTGATATTAGAATGTGAGAAACCAGTATTTGTGCATGGAATGTATTCTTATACATTACATTTGCTTATTATAGAGAATTCTGTAGCTTTGATTTTTAAATTCGGCATTTAAAAAACAGGAATCAAATTTAAAGGAATCGTTTTTACATTAAAGTAGTTAAATCTAAAAAGATAAAATAATAACAAAAAATGACAAAGAGATTATAAAAATGAATTATCAGTAATATATTTGATATTATATTTTATTCTAAAGTTTAATGATGTTTTCTATTATAACAGAAATAATAGATGCTTCCAATGGCTGATAATAAAACTGATACAATTAATATCCTATTTTTACAAGATATAGATAGATATATTTATTATTGAATAAATAAATCTAAAAGATCTCTGTCACTAGAAAATCTTGATTGAAAATGATTTGTATTTTTAAAAAGTAATAATTTTATGTAATAATTGTTTATTATTATAAATATAATAGGCACAGTTACATAGTTCATCTAACGAATCTTCCCAATGTCTTCACGAATAGGGACACAATTATTTATGGTGCCTTATAGTGCCTAAAAATCGTTCCAGTATAAGAAAAGATATTTATTATATAGAATAAATATGTACCTACATGTAGTCATATCATTCACATGGAATAATATGAAATATTCGCTGTTGAAATATTAGGTTCTCAAAGAGGAAAATTTTATTTGTATGAAACATAAATCTTCTCACTATCAAAATATCAATTGAATGTTTTTGTGTTGGTATTCGTTATGTAAATAAGCTTTTCATAATTTTTATAAGAGTTTTACATTGATTCGTGAATTCAATTAGTTTCAGGCTTTGTTCAAGTTTTGTAGATATGGATTTTTATATGACGAAAAAATTTCAACTTTTCTTTTCCATGTAATATTGTAAAAAGAGAAAATTGCTTGTGCTCTGTGCGATGCACAATATATTTTGTACAGTTAGATTTTTTAACATATAATAGTCGAGTTACACAGGTATCTAATTTTAATAAATTCTCGAGAGAAATCGCTTTCTCGAAAACCCGGTGTCTAATTGTTTGAAAGCTACATTGTACAAGCTGGATTCAGCTTAATTATACATATACTGATGTTGCAATACATGATCTAATGACTGACAAAATTAATATTAATGCGTTATTTTTGTGTAATATACTAATGTATTAAAAATTGTAGAGCGATATTTTCTAATTTTAACAAACATTTGTATTGATGCTTGTTTTCGAATATTCTGACTAAATAGTTTTTCGCTCAATTACGTGAGCATTATTGAAATAAATGTCGCAATCAAGAGAAATAAACTTTGAAACAAGCATCACAATATATTGTTAATTATATATATTGTCGTTTTCACTCACAAAATAGAATTAATTATAATTATTGCTCGCATGTGCGATTGTTTGCAATAAAGAAATAAACATATATGTTTAGATTATTTTATTATAGCTATCTTTAAATAAATCTTACAATTTCTTTGAATTGTGAAACATATTCAACTTAGAAAATATTTATTTTTGGCAATGAAAAAAGCGACGCTGAGACTTCAGTTATGAAGCATAATATATACCGTTAGATTTTCAAATCCTCTTTCCTTTCTAGCTGTAAAGGGGATCGGAATACCTTTGATATCAGATTGTAAGTAAGTCAAATAGATTCACAACTCTCGTCAGAAGGGTATCGCTTTTCACTCAGCTTGTCAGCCAAGGTTTCTTTGTTATGTCGATCGATATCTCAAGAAGTCAATCTTCATAGTCAGAGATAGTGTTTATCGGCACTTTTAATTCCTTTCACGTTAAACTGAAAAAAAATAATACTTGCTATTTTATCACTATTTTTTTTAATTGAATTTTTTTTATTTTGGCGTTCGTAAATTGGGAGATTAATGTTGAAAAGATTTTGAAGTCGAAAATACTTTTTATAAAAAATGACTTTTACACGCAGAGATTAATATGTCTTGTATAATAAAATAGATAGAAGATGATATTTTTCGCAATAAATTTCTTAAAAATAAATGGTTACAAGATGCTAGTATTAATAAATTTAAATCATCAATTTGATAATATAAAATTTGCAATTTTGACATAAAACTACATTTCAAAATTAAAATTAGCGCACGATTGAAAAGCACAGAGATGAAACGTACAAATTAAATAAATGTATAATTACGTAACTCAAAAAAATTATTATTAGGCACAAGATTTCGCTAGATTATTGAAAATAAACATTTATTTACTCTATGTGTTATACGTATTTATTCAAGTGTAAAACTAATACATTTTTAAGACACCTACATTTATATAAAAAAGATAGTGTATGTGTTACTTTATGAAATATATTCTTCCATAATTAATTTTGATTTATTGAATTTATCTAATTTCCGTTTAAATTTTTTACTTTTTATCACTTAATTATCTTGGAAATAAGATAAATTTATATAATTACGGAGTTTAAGTGTAGAAATAAAATGATATAATTATAATACATACATATTAAATATAAAAATCAAACGTTAACAATAGGATCTCATCAGCGCCATTTTACAGCAAGTGAATTAATGATTATTCGTCTACAAAAAAACATAGCTCGAACGGCGCGTTTTATTCCAAGAAGAAGGAAGCGACGAGCAGTTGTAGTCGATATTGCGAAAGTTTTCAATCTGCCAGCATCCAACGAGCGTTAAAGCGCTGGTCAAAGTCCCGGTCGTGCGAGACAAAAAGTCTATCTGCATTTATGCGGAGGTGTACACACACAAAGACGTCACCGCGTCTCCGCGTAAAAAATACCATTGCCTCACCTTTGTTGTGTTTGCACTTCACGCGTGTGCAATCTATGCACGGTCATGGCCACGTATGAAATATTCAAAGTGGCTCTAATGTTAACTGGTGACCACTCTTTGGTCTGCCACCTTTGTGTCGCTCACGAGGGGTGCATCTGCATGCAGATCGATCCTGCATCTAGAGAAACCGGCTTATCCGCTCTCTGGTATAGAGAAAGAGAGATAATACCGTACGCACGCCCCCGTTCGTTTGGTATTCTAAAAAGCGAGCGTCTCTTCTTCTTGTCATGCAATATTCAAAATTTCGCAAGGGCGATGACGAGCGGAGAACGAAGATAGATTTTCACGATAGACGTTCAATCAGTTGAAAAGTGATTTTTTGCGAAATGCTAAAGTTATACATGTATTACAATATATGGACTACTATTATACGAATTATAGTTATGTGAGAGAGAGAATCTCGATTTTATTTTTAATTATTGAATTGTCTTTAATTTAAAGGATACATTTTTTCATTTAACCATCTCTTATATGTTTTTTAATGATCTCATATTCCGATTGTATCGAGTCACTAGCTTTTTCATAAATACATACAAGATGTCTTTATGATGAATCGCGTTTCAAAATATCCGAGCGATTCGATTCAAAATTATGTTTTCTGGATATACAATATTAGCATCTTAAGGGGATGCTGGAGTAACGGTCGAAGTTAATCAAGGTCGATAGTACAGACTTTTTAAAATTCCAAATTCGACAATAGTGACATCTTTCATTTCTTATACTTATTATATATATCATTGTGTCTCGCTCAAACGCATTCATTTGTCCTTATCTAACATATTGCAACGCTATCTCTTAGAAAGAGATCAACTAAAATACTGTTCGATTTCATGGCTTCACATCAATTTTATTCGTAGTATACGAACAAAATTTTTGGCGACTCTTCTCTCTTATACCAAAGCCCCTACCTCGTTTCTAAAAGCATAGGATTGTTCTTCAAAGTTTTCTATAGTCTGCTGGCTACTTATTTTAAACGGGTAAAATCCAAAACTCTTATATGCAGCACATATTGTGACGAGTTGACTGCAGGAGCCGGTGACAAAACTACAATTTTTAATTTTCTTTCATTTTTCGCATTAAATTGTAGCTGGCAGCCTGTGTTGTTGTCGATACTTTAATTGTGGAGAAGGACTTTTCAATCCATAAACACAATTAAGAGAAAAGAGTTTTTAAAAATTAATTGTAAAATAGGACACTCCAGCATCCCCTTAAACTGTTGATGTAATTTTATGCGAGCTACAGAACACAGATGATATCATCTTTCCGTATTTTGTCGGCATACTAAAGATCGATCTTCGATTTTCTATGCGAGTATACAAACATATCTTATAAATTACAACTGCGTATGGAATCGATTCTTTCGTTTCACTTTTTGCGCTCATCCGGCATAATTCGGCCGGAGGCGAGTCATCGACGAGATAATTAAATGACCCTGTGAAAAGATCTGGCGAAATACGATTATATAAATGTTATTGAAGCAACCTCTCAACGTTTGCTCACAATTCTGATAATATGCATTCTTTTTTCTTGTTTAGAATTAATAATGAAGTTGTTTCGTCACCTTTGCTATCAATTCTCTAATATCTATCGGATAAAATCATCCTATTAACTAGACGCATTATAACAATGTTATACAGCAGGGGAGATCAGAATGTAAAAAGAACTGTTATTTTTTTTTTATCGGCCCGCTGTGTGAGCGACGCGTGTTTTATCGCTGAATATTTTTTCGCGTTATCTATCGAGCTCCAGCAGCCGGCGGCTGTTATTACAGCAGCTTCTAACGTTGCCCCATCGTCATTAGGAATTCCGTAAGAGGCGGCTGCGGTGAAAAGGGTATTATGGAAGAACGTATTGATGATCGCGGTCCTATCTTCATTCGTAGGCGTCGCGATATATCGTCATTTAACTAAAGGCAAACTCAGAAGAATTATATTTATTAAAGGAGAAAAATTGTAATTAAAAAACAAAAATCCGCGTAAATACACGGAATTTTTTTTTAAATTTGGTAGTTGACCTGAAAATATGATAGTGTGGTACAATGCTACAATATAATAATTTAAAGACTTTTACCATGCATTTCAGTAAAATTGATCAAACTTATTTTGTATCTTTTATTGTAGTTTTATTAATCGAATGAGAGAGATTTACATTAAAATTATTCAAAATATATAATTTTGTCTCCCACGACTGTCATATTTTCAAGGTAAACTCTAAGAAAAAATTATCTCCGTGTATTTTTTTACGCAACAACATTGGCGTTGCGTACATTGATTTTGCAATACTTATTTCACTAAGGAGAAAATATATTTGTTTTCTTCAAGAGAACATCATGTCTCGTTATATCTTCGCTTCTCTAAAATTATTAAATCTCCTATACTGTGTGGAGCTTAATTGGAACGCTTAAGGGAAAGTTTTTCGTTGTAACGAGATAATCGGATGGTCGAGTATCCATGGGGATGGCGAACACTGGAGCACCCTTTTCCAGGCGGGAGACGGGGGTGGCGCAAAATGTACAATGTTTCACGGTTAAATGGTTCGATTGTGCTTTCGGGAAAGGGGCGCAATGTTCGCCTCGGTGAATTATTAAATCCACCCCACTGATTTATATTTTCTTACTTTCCGCCTTCCCGTTCGATCTTACGAGGCGGAGATCTGCGGGAGAGATCTGATTGCGAGACACCCTTTGATTTGATTACTTGCTCCGCGGAGTATGACTGAAATCTTGCGCTCTCTTTCTCGATGCGGATTTATGTATAGCTTTGCCTGCAAAATTGAATATAAAGCCGCCGTGATAGCATCATGATTCTCGACTGTGCACTTTTAAAAGCACACAGATGCAGATAGTCGTAAGATATCATTTTATACATCACGTCGAACTTAATATTGTATTTTGTAATGTATACATGTATCGTTGCAAAATAATGTTCGCACAATAAAATGATTGAATGAATAAAACGGTAAAACATATAATAAAAGGAAAGAAGAGTTTATGTTTACATTGTTGTTAAAGCGACCTAAATGTTTACCCGATCGAAAGCAACTCAAGTATTCTTGACGGAGCAAGAAAGGGTTGCTCTCCGATAAAGCTGAGAAACCCAGCCCCTTTCATCATTTTCTCTCTTTCTCTTCCCTTTTCCTGTATTTTTCTTCATATTTTTCTTTCTTTTTCTTTCTTCTCTCTGTTTTATGTTCTCAGTATCTGTCCTTTTATCTCGTCTTTTCCTCCTCCTTTCGTCCTGTTTTCTCTCTTTTAATTAACTAACTGTGCCTATGTAGTAGGCTAAAGAGGGTGTCTAACTCTGGAGATTTTTTTTCGCGAGCGATCGAATAATCTATCTTCCCGTGGTAGGTTGAATAAGATTATCGAGTCAGTTCCGGCGATGGGATTGCTAAAAGATTTCGTCTACTAAATCCTTTGAGTTCTCGATGGGCTATTTAATGCAATTAATCGATTTATGAGCAGATCTTCAAGGTTGTAAAGTACTTCTCAGATTATTAGACTTTCATGCACTAAGATTATAATATAAATTATAAAAATTAATATTTTATATTATAAATACTTATAATATATATATATACATTATAAAAATAATAAATTACGATAAATTATTGTAAATATTATCTTTTGCAAAAAATAAAAAATTGTCATATCTATAATATCTAGAAAATAATGTCTATAACAATCTATTTGAAATTTAGAAAACATATTTATTATTCTCCGTAATATTGTAGCTATTTTTGTTACGTATTTTAAAGCTTGAAAGACGGAAAAGTTAAGACTGCTTGCGCCGCTGTCTTAGATAAACTCCAAACTTTAAATCCCGTTTCTTCGAAACGATATTTTTCTACCGAAGTGCGGCTAAGATAAATCACCAACGGAGACCCGGAGAAGATTACAATTTGGACAG